TGCACCAATTTCTTACCAGTTTAGTCCCTATAAAATTTACAAATTAGGTAGAAATTCCTAATTAACACAGCTCCCTAACTATCCACCAATTTCTTACCTGTTTAGTCACTATAAAACTTACAGAGTAGGTAGAAATTCATAATTAATACAGTTTCCTAACTATGCACCAATTTCTTGCTAGATTAGTCACAATAGAATTTACAAATTAAGTAGAAATTCATAATTAACACAGTTTCTAAACTATGCACCAATTTCTTGCTAGATTAGTCACAATAGAATTTACAAATTAAGTAGAAATTCATAATGAACACAGTTTCTAAACTATGAACCAATTTCTTACCAGATTAATCAATAGAAAATTTACAAATTAGGTAGAAATTCCTAATGAACACAGTTCCCTAACTATGAACCAATTTCTTACCAGATTAGCCACTATAAAATTTACAAATTAGGTAGAAATAATTAACACCATTTCCAAACTGGGCACCAATTTCTTACCAGATTAGTCACTACCAATCTTACAAATTAGGTAGAAATTCCTAATTAACACAGCTCCCTAACTATGCATCAAGACTGATGTAATATCAACTCACTTAAAATCCTTCCTCCTCTCTAACCCAACCAGAAGGAAGTCCAAGATTTGCAGGATATTGCCCAGGAGCCAGCAATCCACCAAATGCCATTTTCCCTTCCTTGGAGTGATGGGAGGAAAGCATACAAGGATCATGAAGCTGAAAAGGAAATTCTGAATTTTTGCCCAGCTAAACTAAACCACCAAAGCATTGCCAAACAGCAAAAGCTTCAAAGCAAACAAAAAATTGTAGAAATAGAAATAGAAGAAATGAGAGCAGAGGCCTCCAGTGGCCCACCTTGAACTCGTCAGAGATTTCTGAGACGAAGGAGGAGATTTGTTTCATCAGCCTGTCCACGCTGCTCTCGCTGCCAGTCTTGAGCAGGGTGGTGATGGCCAGCGTGGCAATGCTCCTGTTGGAGTCAGTGATCAGGTTCTCCAGGTCCAGGTTGCAGGCAGTCACTGCAGATGGGTGTTTCATGGCCACCTGCAAGGGATGCAGTTCCAAAATGAGGTGGGAGGTGCAGCATCCTGCAGTTCAAAGCATGGCATGCAAGCAGAGCTGGGGTGTTTTAAAGGGGTTTTAATTTACAGCTCGTGGGTTTGAGTCTCAAATTTTTGCAGCTCTGAAATCAGAATATCTCTGATATCCTTTTGGATTTTTGTAATATTTAGATTGGATTGGATTTTTGTAATATTTTAATATTTTTGTAATATTAAATATCCAGCTGAAAGCTCACAGATTATCAAACTACCAGCTTGTTCCCAAAATGAGCAAGCACAGCCTGAAAGCAGGAAAAGATTTCTGTCCCNCTGGGAATGTCTCCATTCACCCCAAATTAGCAGACAATCAGCGTTTGGGTGTTCTAATTGTGCTGGATTTTCTGGGAATGTCTCAATTCCAGCCGTTCCAGGGCTCCCAGGGTGTGACCCACCTGACACAGCCGGTGCCAGCTCCCTGGCACTGCAGTTGGGCAGGTGGATGATGGCAGAGGCAGCCTCATAAATCACCATCTCGTGCTTGTTCCTCAGGCAGCTCTCAATGAAGTCAAACAGGGGACTCTCGTGCCTGCAAACACAAAAATCCCAGCAGGTTTTATGGGAAAACCCTTGGAATCCAAGGCATTTGTGCCTAAAAACACATCAATCCCAGGATTTTAGGATGGAAAAATCCCTTTAAGATTGAGTCCAACACATTCATGGCTACAAACACAACAACCCCAGGATCTTTTAGTCTTGGATTCAAAGGCTTTTTCCAGCCTTTCATGGCTACAAATGCAACAATCCCAGGATTTTAGGATGGAAAAATCCCTTTAAAATCGAGTCCAACACTTTCATGGCTACAAATGCAACAATCCCAAGATCTTTTAGGTTGGAAAAATCCTTTGAATCCAAGACTTTCATGTCTATAAACACAACAATCCCAGGATCTTTTAGTCTTGGATTCAAAGGCTTTTTCCAGCCTTTCATGGCTACAAACACAACAACCCCAGGGGTTTAGGCTGGAAAAATTTAAGATTGAGTCCAAGATTTTCGTGCCTACAAACACAGCAATCCCAGGATCTTTTATGTTGGAAAAATCCCTTTGAATCCAATATTTTCAAGGCTACAAACGCAACAATCCAGGATCTCTTAGTCTTGGATTCAAAGGGTTTTTGCAACCTTTCATGGCTACAAATGCAACAATCCCAAGATCTTTTAGGTTGGAAAAATCCCTTTGAATCCAAGACTTTCATGGCTACACAAACACAACAATCCCAGGATCTTTCAGGCTGGAAAAACCCATTTAAGATCAAATTCAAGACTTTCATGGATACAAAAGAAGAATCCCAGGATTTCAGGCTGGAAAAACCCTTTAAGATCAAATTCAAGAATTTCATGGATACANTACAAATTAGGTAGAAATTCATAATGAATAGTTTCCAAATTATGCACCAATTTCTTACCAGTTTAGTCACTATAAAATTTACAAATTAGGTAGAAATTCATAATGATTAGTTTCCAAATTATGCACCAATTTCTTACCAGATTAATCACTATAAAACCTACAAATTAGGTAGAAATTATTAACAGAGTTAGGTAGAAATAATTAACACCGTTTCCAAACTGTGCACCAATTTCTTGCCAGTTTAGTCACTATAAAATTTACAAATTAGGTAAAAATTCATAATTAATACAGTTTCTAAACTATGCACCACTTTCTTACCTGTTTAGTCACTATAAAACCTACAAATTAGGTAGAAATTATTAACACAGTTAAGTAGACATAATTAACACAGTTTCCTAACTATGCACCAATTTCTTACCAGATTAGTCACTATAAAATTTACAAATTAGGTTAAAATTCATAATTAATACAGTCTCTAACTGTGCACCAATTTCTTACCAGTTTAGTCACTATAAAACTTAGAGTAGGTAGAAATTCATAATTAACACAATTTCCAAACTGTGCACCAATTTCTTACCAGATTAGTCACTACAAATCTTACAAAGTAGGTTAAAATTCATAATTAATACAGTTTCCTAACTATCCACCAATTTCTTACCAGTTTAGTCACTATAAAACCTACAAATTAGGTAGAAATTATTAACAGAGTTAGGTAGAAATAATTAACACAGTTTCCAAACTGTGCACCAATTTCTTACCAGATTAGTCACTGCAAATCTTACAAATTAGATAGAAAATCATAATTAACACAGTTCCCTAACTATGCACCAATTTCTTACCAGATTAGCCACTATAAAATTTACAAATTAGGTAGAAATTCATAATGAATGGTTTCCAAATTATGCACTAATTTCTTGCTAGATTAGTCACTACCACTCTTACAGATCAGGTAGAATTTCATAATTAACAGTTTCCAAACTGTGCACCAATTTCTTACCAGATTAGTCACTACAAATCTTACAAATTAGGTTAAAATTCATAATTAATACAGTTTCCTAACTACGCACCAATTTCTTACCGGTTTAGTCACTATAAAATTTACAAATCAGGTTAAAATTCATAATTAATACAGTCTCTAACTATGCATCAATTTCTTGCCAAATTAGTCACTATAAAATTTACAAATTAGGTAGAAATTCATAATTAATACAGTTTCTAAACTATGCACCAATTTCTTACCTGTTTAGTCACTATAAAATTTACAGAGTAGGTAGAAATTAATAATTAATACAGTTTCCAAACTATGCACCAATTTCTTACCAGTTTAATCACTAAAAAATTTACAAATTAGGTAGAATTTCATAATTAATACAGTTTCTAAACTATGCACCAATTTCTTACCAGGTTAGTCACTATAAAATTTACAAATTAGGTAGAAATTCATAATGAATAGTTTCCAAATTATGCACCAATTTCTTGCTAGATTAGTCACTATAAATCTTACAAATTAGGTTAAAATTCCTAATTAACACAGTTTCCTAACTATGCACCAATTTCTTACCAGTTTAGTCCCTATAAAATTTACAAATTATGTAGAAATTCATAATGAACAGCTTCCAAATTATGCACCAATTTCTTGCTAGATTAGTCACTACCAATCTTACAGATTAGGTAGAATTTCATAATTAACAGTTTCCAAACTATGCACCAATATCTTGCCAGTTTAGTCACTATAAAACCTACAAATTAGGTTAAAATTCATAATTAATAGAGTTTCCAAACTATGCACCAATTTCTTACCATATTAATCAATATAAAATTTACAAATTAGGTAGAAATTAATAATTAATACAGTTTCTAAACTATGCACCAATTTCTTACTAGATTAGTCACTATAAATCTTACAAATTAGATAGAAAATCATAATTAACACAGTTCCCTAACTATGCACCAATTTCTTACCAGATTAATCACTATAAAATTTACAAATTAGGTACAAATAATTAACACCGTTTCCAAACTGTGCACCAATTTCTTACCAGATTAGTCACTATAAAATTTACAAATTATGTAGAAATTCATAATGAATAGTTTCCAAATTTTGCACCAATTTCTTACCAGATTAGTCACTGCAAATCTTACAAATTAGGTAGAAATTCATAATTAATACAGTTTCCTAACTATGCACCAATTTCTTACCAGATTAGTCACTATAAAACTTACAGAGTAGGTAGAAATTAATAATTAATACAGTTTCCAAATTGTGCACCAATTTCTTACCAGTTTAGTCACTATAAAATTTATAAATTAGGTAGAAATTCATAATTAATACAGTTTCTAAACTATGCACCAATTTCTTACCTGTTTAGTCACTATAAAACTTAGAGTAGGTAGAAATTAATAATTAACACAATTTCCAAACTGTGCACCAATTTCTTACCAGATTAGTCACTATAAAATTTACAAATTAGGTAAAAATTCATAATTAACACTGTTCCCTAACTATGCACCAATTTCTTGCCAGTTTAGTCACTATAAAACCTACAAATTAGGTAGAAATTATTAACACAGTTAAGTAGAAATAATTAACACAGTTTCCAAACTATGCACCAATTTCTTGCCACTTTAGTCACTATAAAACCTACAAATTAGGTAGAAATTCATAATTAATACAGTTTCTAAACTATGCACCAATTTCTTGCCAGTTTAGTCACTATAAAATTTACAAATTAGGTAGAAATTCATAATGAACAGTTTCCAAATTATGCACCAATTTCTTGCTAGATTAGTCACTACCAATCTTACAAATTAGGTTAAAATTCATAATTAATACAGTTTCCTAACTATGCACCAATTTCTTACCAGATTAATCAATATAAAACTTACAAATTAGGCAGAAATTATTAACAGAGTTAGGCAGAAATAATGAACACAGTTTCCAAACTATGCACCAATTTCCTACCAGTTTAGTCACTATAAAATTTACAAATTAGATAGAAAATCATAATTAACACAGTTCCCTAACTATGCACCAATTTCTTAGCAGATTAGTCACTATAAAATTCACAAATTAGGTAGAAATTCATAATTAATACAGTTTCTAAATTATGCACCAATTTCTTGCCAGTTTAGTCACTATAAAACCTACAAATTAGGTAGAAATTATTAACACAGTTAGGCAGAAATAATTAACACAGTTCCCTAACTATGCACCAATTTCTTACCAGTTTAGTCCCTATAAAATTTACAAATTAGGTAGAAATTCCTAATTAACACAGCTCCCTAACTATCCACCAATTTCTTNTCCAACCCAAAACTATTCCATAATTCCCTCCCATCCCAAATTCCTGCAGCTGGATAGACAAGCATCAGCTCTAATGCCATTTATCTGGCATTGGGCAGGGCCTGGAGCACACTGGGACAGGGGAGATGTCCCTGTGTGGCACTGGGTGATCTTTAAGATCCCTTCCAACCCAAATCATTCCATAATTCCCTCCCATCCCAAATTCCTGCAGCTGGATAAAGACAAGCATCAGCTCTAATGCCATTTATCTGGCACTGGGGAGCACACTGGGACAGGGGAGATGTCCCTGCTGTGGCACTGGGTGATCTTTGAGGTCCATTCCAACCCAAATCATTCCAGGATTCCCTCCCATCCCAAATTCCTGCAGCTGGATAAGGACAAGCATCAGCTCTAATGCCATTTATCTGGCATTGAACAGGGGAGGTGTCCCTGCCTGGCACTGGGTGATCTTTGAGATCCATTCCAACCCAAACTATTCCAGGATTCCCTCCCATCCCAAATTTCTACAGCTGGATAAGGACAAGCATCACCCTCTAATCCCATTTATCTGTGTCCCTGCCATGGCACTGGGTGATCTTTGAGGTCCATTCCAACCCAAATCATTCCATGATTCCCTCCCATCCCAAATCCTGCAGCTGAATAGACAAGCATCAGCTCTAATGCCATTTATCTGGCATTGGACAGGGGAGGTGTCCCTGCCTGGCACTGGGTGATCTTTGAGATCCCTTCCAACCCAAATCATTCCAGGATTCCCTCCCATCCCAAATCCTGCACCTGGATAAGGACAAGCATCACCTCTAATGCCATTTATCTGGCATTGGGGAGCACACTAGGACAGGGGAGGTGTCCCTGCCTGGCACTGGGTGATATTTGAGGT